GACAAGTGGTGCAGCCCCTGACCCTGTGCCCCGGCCGGAATGGGGCCTGAGACAAGTGGTGCAGCCCCTGACCCTGTGCCCCGGCCGGAGCGGGGCTGAGCCGCATGGTCTGGTCCCGACTCAGCACCCCGTCTGGAGTGCCGGAGCGAGACCGAGCCGCGTGGTCCATCCAGTAGCGTAGCTAGCGGGGTGCAGAGGAAGCAGCCACTTCCCCTCCGCACACTTTGCAAAAGCGGCCGGAGGAGCGAGGTGGGGCGCAGGCTGGCGGCGGGCCGGCAGCCGCGGCCGGAGGAGAGGGAGGGCAGCGCAGGCTGGCTGTGGCCCGGCAGCTGCAGCCAGAGAAGGGGGAGGGGGGCGCAGGCTGGTGGCGGCCCGGCAGCCGCGGCTGGAGGAGCCATGGGGGGGAGGGGCGGTGCGGGCGGGGGAGCCAGCCCAGGGGGGGGGGGGGGGGGCGTGGAGCGGCTGAAGGAGGAGCCGGGGGCGTGGCCAGAGGAGGAGCCAAGGGGGGCGCCTTTTTTAGGTTTGCTCCCCCTCCTCTTAAAAGCTGGCTACGCCACTGGGTCCATCCCCGAACCCAGTGCCCCGGCTGAAGTGCCGGAGCAGGGCTGAGCTGCATGGTCTGGCCCCAACCCAGCTGAAGCGCCGGAGCGGGGCTGAGCCGCGTGGTGTGGCTCGCGGCCCGCTTAAAATGGCTCGCAGGCCGGATCCGGCCCGCAGGCCATAGTTTGCCCACCCCTGTTTTAGACCATGTCTCCCAGTTGCTGCTGAGTTATTTCTTCTTGCAGAACACTAGCATTTCTCTTATCTGTGCATTTGTGCTGTGAACTGTGTATATCTGATTCTGAAGAATCTGGCTGTTAGTTGCCTACTTTAACTTGGTTGATTGGTTCAAGCATCTTCCTGCTTTCATTGAAGTCAATGGCAAAACTAATGGGAGCTGGGTTTGGACCCATGAATGTGGTTTCATTTTGGGGTAGAGATTTTGTTTTTAAGCCTTGGATGAAAGTCTAGTCTATGCCTCGCCTAACTTCTCTCTTTATCTTCTCTTTCTGTCCTCTTACCCCACCCATAACGTTCTCAGATATTCACTTCAGTTGGAATCATCCAAAATAATGTTTTCATCCCCCTGTGTTTCATGTTTGTCTTTTGCCGACAGTTTTCTGAAATGCCAGCTAATATCTTCTCTTCAGCTACATGTACACTAGTGTATTTTTTTCCTACTCAACTTCTCCGCTGTCGCTATCACTGATCCATCTCCCCCTGTGCTAGCAATCGTGGGATCTCTAGTATAGACAGGCACGAGGTGCTCAGCAGCACTGTAAGCACTGTGTTGCTAACTGCTCAGAACAAGTCTTCATGATACTATGCTTAACACGCAGCACCTTGTATACAATGGTGCTGCCATCGTTATTCCCATTTTACAAATGAGGAATTGAGGGACTGAGAGATTGTGGCTCATCCAAGATCACGCAGGAAGTCTACTGGAGCCAGGAATTGAATCCAGATTGTCCACGCCCCAGTCCTTTGTTTTAGTTACAAAACCATCCACAAAAGCATTACACAATTATGGAGTAACATTTCACAAATCCTAGACATATAAAGGCAGTTATCCAGGGGTAGCATGTATAAAGGGCTTGGGGAGGTTAAGCCTCCCCCAAAATAAAAAAGGCTAGCCATTCTGGGGGCAAATGCTGGACGCAGCGTGGGTCACATCCTACGTTCCTCTCCTGAGCTCTGCCACTGCTCCGCCCTGAGGCCCCACCCCCAGTCTGCCTCTTCTTCCCGCCCCCCCCCCCCCCCCCCCCCCCCCCCGCGCGCCTGCCCCCCCCCCCCCCCCCCCCCCGCCTGCCTCTGGCGTGGTGCTCTGGCTCTGCTCACCCACAGGCACATCTCCAGGCTGTCCACAGCGCTGCGCTCTGCCAGGTGGGGATCCCAGAGCAGAATGCCAGTGGGGCTGTCTCAATGCGGCTGCCAGCACAGCCCATGGGCCTGTGCCCAGCTCCCCTTGGCAGTTACCCGGGAAGGCAGCACTTCGCTGTGCCCCTCGGCGGTGGGGAACTGAACGAGCCTTGCTGCCCTCCCCGCTGCAAGGGGAAGTGGTGGCGGCCGTGGACCTCCTGCCTCCCCACAAGCTCCCCAGGCAGCCATACCCCTGAGCCGCCCTCCCCCCCCCCCCCCCCCCCCCCCCCCCCCCCGGCTGCAGCATGGGCCTCTCCCCTTCCTCTACCAGGGCCTCACAGGGTGTGTGTGGGAGGAAAGGACAGGACTGAGCCCTGGGGGGCATAGTGGAGCAGCAATGAGCCCTGGGTAGGGGGCAGTAAGGAGCCTGGGTGGAGCCGGGGGTGGTGGTGTTCGGGGCAGTAAGGAACCCAGGGAGTCGGGGGGGGGCAGTGAGGAGCCCATGGGGGGTTAGAGGGGGCAGTGAGGAGCCCAGGGAGGGCAGTGAGGAGCAGGGGGCAGTGAGGAGCCCTACAGCACAGCATAAGGCCCAGCACCAGGCAGCGGAGTGAGGATGGGACCTGGGGGGGGGGGGGGGGAGAAGGGGCGGGGGGGGGGCAGGGGAAAGAGGCCAAGAAGGGGTGGGGCCACGGTCCGGGTGCTGGAGTGCCGCCGCCCCCCCCCACGCACACACTTCTAGGGAGCTTCTGGCGCTCCATAGCCTTCCCTAAAGGAAAGACTTGTGCGCCACCTATGGCAATTTACATGTATAATTTCTCTCAATGAGCAATCAAGCAAATACAATACAAATAATAAGTAATGATAATATAGTACTAGTATATGACCACGTGTGTTAAAATATTCAGAGAGACATATCCCATGATTTAAAAAGGGGTGAAACAGCCATTATATATTTATGTAGACAGACTATATAAAAACATAGTCACCTGGATGCCAACAATCTTAGTTATTGATAGTCCTGAATCAAAACTCTAGCTCTGACTGCTCCCCAGCTCACTCTTAATATTAATCTCAAGAATGTACAGTATCTTCTATAACAATATTTCCCTGATCGCATTAGAAACCTCTTTCTTTTAATGAATCTCAACTTCTGTGGTCTCATTAGCTTCCATTTGCAAGGCCTCATGACAGGTGTCAGCAAAGTTTACAACCTGAGGACAGTGGTTAAAATGTATTGAATCTGGGAGTTATCTCTCTCTGCTTTTAGCAGAGGAGTGGGGAGTCCTATTTCTCTCCTGCTGTCCCTGACTGTAGCCCTACCTGGGGAGATAAAAACATATAATTTCAAATGGCTAGGTAGCTCAGCAGAGTCCCTTCTTCCTGAGATTGATTTCCTTAGTAAAGTTAGGATGTCACAAATTAGAGGACAGAGAGAAATAGTAGTAAGGGGTACAACCCCTGATTTCTTCCTCTCCATTACCACCATTTCCTAGCCTTAATAATTGCTCTACCAGCCAGGGCTCTGTGTATTGTATGCTCAGCACAATGGGGCCCTTATTATGGTAGGGGTCTCCAGACACTGTTATAATACAAACAAAAATAATAATAAAGCACGTGGACTATGTAGAGAAATTCAGTATTTATATATAAAAATAAACATATGTGATTACCTGAACCGTAAAGAAACACTGGCTAATGAAAAGCCAGTCCAATATGTCCTCCAGTTTAAACAAAACAGATGTCTGAAAATAAGACTTTTGTCAGAGAAGGAAAAAAACCAAACAGACTGTGAAAGTTTGTAATAATGAGACGGAGGAGAGTGGGGTTCATGCCTTGGGCAAGGATGGGAAACTGTACAGGTATAGCTGGAGCCAGGTATAGCAGCGGCTGGCACAGGAAGACGTTTTATGACTCATTTCACTGATGTCATCCGCTAGGCAAGAATGTGGCTAGAGGTAAGAGGAGCAGTAGTAACTTGCATTGTGGACAGCAGGTTTTATAGCTCACCTTTATTAATACCCTTTCGTGGGTGGGGTGAGGAAGCTGAGTGATTGGCAGCAGCTGCTTGTGGAATGTCCCTGTCTGGACAGGCCCTCCCACAATGGTAGGGCTGTAGCTAGATGAGCCAGAAGCTGATAGTTGCCCTTCTCTTTGTGGCAGCAGATGTACAGTTTGTGTTTTAAGCTCCTGGATTCATGCTTTGGCAACTTAGTTTATCCTCTGGAGTGATGTCTGCCATGAAAATTGCTTCATGATGGTATCTGCAAGCAGTACTTTCCTGGTACACTTCAAGGTTTACCATCTATACTTCTGCATTAATAT